TACCTTAGACTTGATCAAGGCTTTCAACCTTTTGCCCCGTCGCGTCCTTTATCATTTGCTCATCCATCATGGTGCTCCACCAGAATCCATTGATTTCTGGTTTCTCAACCTCCAACGCCTCACACGCCGCCTCCAGATTCGTGGAAACATCGGACCACCTATGACCATGACTACTGGGGTCCCAGAAGGTGATAGTCTCTCTGTCTGCGCCATGTTGGTCGTTTCCTCCGCCTTTTATTGGACACTACATATACACCCACCGTGTTCCCGTATGCGTATGCCGACAACTGGTCTTACTTAACTACTAATCAAAGAGACAATATTCAAGCATTTTGCCAAGTCCAACACCTCGCCGAAGCCCTTCGTATGAAAATTGATTACTCGAAGTCCTGGGCTTGGGGCGCCACAGCCGATGCTCGTAAAGACTGGCTCCAGCTTCTAACCCTCACTTTCCCGGAGGACAACCCAGTCAAAATCCTTAACTCTACCAAAGATCTAGGTTGTATGACCCACTACACCAACCATATTGTCTTGGGCCACTTACGACAAAAGATTCAAACTGCAGCCCAGAGATGCCGCAAGATTCGATATTTTCCGACTGACCTTATCCAAAAAGCTCGATTCATCCAGACCGCTGTGTGGCCTCATGCATTCTTTGGAGCCGAAACACAAATTGTCGGTGAATCACATTTTCGCACCCTAAGACGCGAGGCGGCCAGATCCCTTGTTGGCCGTCATTCGCAAATTTCCAGTTACCTGGCTGTTCATGTCTTTACGCCTCAGCTTCAAGACCCACTTTTGTATGTGATTTCAACTGCCGTGACCTTCATGCGCAGGCTCTTTTACACAAACTCTGTCCTGGCGCAAGACTTCCTGACTGCAGTTGTTACTCACTCCGGCCCGGCCGTCGGCCCAGCAGGCGCCCTCGCTCGTTATCTTGAATTTGCAGGGACCGGGACGCCTTCGATCAATTCGGACTATACTGTGACGGGTATGGGCTTACCACATACACCGACAGATCAGCCATCGCAAAGGCATTCCACCTGTCCCTTTTGATTATGAAATCTTAACTCGGGCACTCCGCACTTTGTCCGTGACAGCCATCCGGCAGATTGCCTATAATTTAACTGGAGGCTATCAAGTGGGAGCCGTCAAAGCACAATGGACCACCAAAGTAGATGCAAATTGTCCCTTTTGCGGTCAACTTGACACTCATACCCATCAACAACTGCTTTGTCCAGAGTTCGAGCAGGTTCGCCAGCGCCACTTACAGGCTATTGCCTACCTGACACAACACCCGGCCAAATTGTGGTTACCCTTACCGCAGTCTTTCCCGGACATGGCCACCCTGCGCCAACTGGTTTCATACCGTGGAGAAGATACGGGACATACAATCCTCCACCAAGGGTCGCAAGTGTTGATGTTCTATACGGATGGGTCAGCCGACACCCCCCTTCACGCAGAGACCCGCCGTGCCGCCTGGTCAGTCATTCAGTATCAACCGGAGTCGGATACCCAGCCATTTCTGACCATCAAAATTCAACACGTTCAAGGCAGTCAATCTATCGCAAGAGCTGAACTTGCCGCAGTCACCTGGATCGTACAACACGTTGCTGCCAACAGATGGACCCAGCCAGTCGTGATTACCACCGACTCCCAGTATGTGATTGATACCATCACGCACATCACAGGAGACAGTGTCATCCCTCCCTGGCACCGCCTCGCACATGCCGATCTCCTTCAATCACTCTCAACACATTGGAATCCCTCACTATTCTTGCTTCGCAAAGTCAAATCCCATCAAGATATTTCCCAATTACCGCCAGGCCCGATGCGTACTGATGCCATAGGTAATTCATGGGCTGACCACGCTGCCGTGAAGGCTCGCCAAACAGACCACCACCTTGTGCGCCAAATCTTCAAGCAAGCCCAAAACTGGCATCGAGACCAATATACTCAGACAACCAGCATTTTGGCTTACCTCGCTGATCTTAATCTACATCACCTTCAACTTAAGCAGAAATCCTCTAGTGAGACGCAACTCGACGGCACAGGTGATTCACAGGATAATGCATGGGGCCTCATTTTCCGTACTCGGGAAACATACCAAGTGCCACCGCCGGGACAAACATTTCGGCCCGTAGTCCATCCTGCCTTTCTGACAGCTTGCGTATGGGGCAATCAATACGCCGATCTCATTTTGCGATTTTGTGCAACCCTCCGATGGCCAGCAGACGATGCCGCCTACTCGGACCCAACCATTGCCGCAGGCATCACATGGCACGAACTGGCCCTGGCCTTTATTGTCAATACAGGCCTTCAGCTTCCCACTTGGATTAAGCCCACAGCAGAGCAACGTGCACAACCGGTACACTGGCAAGATCCCCGTGTGCTGGCCCTCCCTGCACATCGCCGCTCACTTCGAGAACAGGCCGAAGCCTTTCGTACCATTGCGTTATACTTACAGAATTATTCCAGTACACCGCTTTCGCCAGTTTATTCTAAAAAAGGCTCCCTTAGTCTCACACAAGTCGGCTGGGGACGTGCTTACACGGGCGGATTCCCTCTTCGGCCCGATTTCCCAAATCCGGTGGCAGTCCAGCGCACGCTCATTCGTTATGCCGCCGACTTAAATTGTAAACCACCCTACCATCCAGATGGTCTTGTCCCAATGAACTACATACGGCCGATCTTTCCTGTTGTGGATGCCATTCCTCTCACGTTCGAACAGCGCTTTCTCTATCGTCGATATCTTCGTCAGTGTTGGAACCGTCATGGAGACTTGGACACAGTGTCCATCCCACCCGCACCGAAATAGTAATTTGTACACACCTTGTCCTATGCCGCGCGGATATTCGTTTTCACGTAGCTAGGTTTGTGCAGCCTTTTCATTAGCTGGTCACCATTTCACATTCACCACACTCCCAGATACCCCCTACAACAGGGAAGGATCTTGGGAAGCGCATAGACAGAGCGCAAGTTTCGGGAGTAGCGATGCCAGAGAGCCCCTAGTAGCGTCCTTGCTCCTAGTAGTATGGCCACGAGCCCC